CCAGCCCACAGCTTACTATCCAGCGGGCTTTTGGAGACAGTAAATCACACAGGAGGAGATGTCCATCCTCCCACAGAGTAGCCTGTGGATTCAAACCATGTGCCATTAGGATTGCAGCACAGCTTCTTACACTCAGGCTACCAGAGTACCCTAAATACTCAATAGTCAGAATACATTTCATTGACAAGTGAAGGTCTATTTGGACTACTAGAAAATATTCTTCTCCTTAATTAAGGCCAAAGAGGTAATCATGGACAAGGTATCAAGAACACAAATCTCCAGAATAATTTCTTTCTAGAACATGAGAAAACAAATCTATTATCTGTTGACTTTAATGTGTTTCCTCAACTTTATCACCAGGGAGGCTGGGCTCTGGAAAATATATATTTCACCTTCAGGGTCACTGCCGTCCTTTCTATAAAAATGGTACAAGCTTCTCTGTAGCTTCTGGTGAAGATAAATGAGGGGACTTCCATTAAATGAGGCCAGGGCAGCATGATTAGAGTTTTGTTTGAGGAAGCAGGTGTTGGTACCAACATGAAAACACGTTAAGGGTGCATTATGGCTACAGGGGAAAAAAAAGTCCAAGGTTTATTCAAGTTGCTGCTAAAAACTTAAAAAAGTGGCAGTTTGAGTTTTAAGATTAATCAGTACATCATTAGCAGAAGAAGTGTAACATGGGAAACACCTGGCACCCTCATTTCTCTTTCTTGCGTTCCCATTCCATGTTAGTCCTTGATTCCTCAGTTTGCACAGTACTCACCCCCTCTTCTCTACCTCCAGTTCCCAGGCTGATGTAAATTGCTGAAATGATGAAGGCCAATTGGGGCATCCCACAGCGTTGTTTCTTGAACCCTGTGGCTTAACTATTATTCAAATGTTTTCTCACTTCTGTTTCAGAAAAAGACATATTTTATCTCCTCCCCAAACTCTAACTATTTCCTTGATCTCTTGCTCCACCAGCTCCTTCTGTTCTACCCCCCAATTTACTCCTTTTCCAGGGTCATCTCAAAAACACCCCAAAACCAAAACAACAGCAGAACCCAACCTAACCTGCTCATGGTGCCTTCTAAAAGCAAGTAAGAACAGATCAAGAAAACCATCACTGTCTTTGCAACTGGACTTCCTGAAGCTAACACCAGGTTCTTTTCCATCATCAAGCAAGCATTTTTCCAACTTCTCCCTGACAATTTTGGTCTAGGTGGAATTCATTCTCAACATGTCCTTGTTAAATCACCACAGTCTGGATGAATGTAGTCAGCACTTTAATGGACCAATTCTTTAAAGGATTATTAATCACCTCCCTGGAGTCACACACCACTGGCCTATTTTCAGGCTTCAACTTGTAGGATTTCGCCGCAATTAACATCCAGCCTTGCTGGTAGCCTTTCCTTCCAGAAATTCCCCACTGTTCCTTCTCTGATGCTCTGTTCTCCGGGGTTTTCCTGATGCTTATTTTTCTCAGTCTTTTATTTTTCCCCTCCTGACCCTTAATTGTGCGCCTTACACAAATATTTATTCTTGGTTTCTTTATTCTCCATGGTCTCAATGATTCTTCGGCTCTGAGAGATGCATTTTTATGCTGCCTCTACTTCGATCATCCAACTCATTTCCCCAGCCTACTCCTGATCCCATCATTCTAATGGGACTCTATTGGTTAAGGATCTTCAGGGACCTCCAGTAGACTCTTCTAGTTCTCGTTCTCATTTTTGCTGGATTTCTCATCAGATTTAGACAATGATAGTCATTTTGCTTCCTCCTTTGGCATCAACAACACCAACACATCTCTCCCTAGTTTTCTTTTGATCTTTTTGTCTTCTACTCTGTTTCCCATGTAGGTCCTTCTTTTTCTACCTAACATGCAATGTCATTAATTCCACAAGGTTCACTCCCTTTCTCACTGGAGGTTTTACTAGGAAAATATGGAACACTCACTAATATTTACCGATAGTCCACAGTTCCTTACATGAAACAGTTCACGTGAAATCATGTATACATGTTTACAGCTGCATACTTATATCTCCTCTTGACTATCTGAAAGTTCTACTATGTCCAAAGTGAATTTAGGACTCCCCCCGCCCCCGAAATCTGGTTCTCCATCACTACTTCCTGAACAATACTAACATCCATATAGTTGTGCATGAAAAACAAAGACATCATGCTTGATACTGCTTTCTTCTCAATGTCCATCCATCACCAGTATCCTACCTATCTGACCTCCTAAATAGCAGATTTGTCTACACTTTTTATCTCCACTAACACCATTTTAAATAGATCAGCAAGAATTCACCAAACATACTGATGAGAGTGTGTGTATTCATATGTGTGTGGAGTTACCAGGCTGACCCCCAGGCCACAGATAAGAAATCTAGGCTGGGCAGGGTCTCAGAACTTGCCCTAAGTGGCAGACACAGTAACTGAAAGCTGAGTCTGTCTTCTTCTCTGGGGAATCACCAACTGGAAGATGATGCCAACACAGGGAGGGCCTGGAGCCCAGGGATAGGACTCTGTGGTGGCTACCGTGGAGGCTTTGGCTGTCATCTGTGGGCTGTGGTTGACCACGGTGACGGAGCTGAAAGCTCTAGGAGGCAACGCCAAGGACAAGGAGTGGCTGGCTGCCTGTCACCAAGCAGGAATGTCTGGCAAAGGACCCAAAGATCCAATCCCTAGAGATCTACTCCACTCCCTGCTAATCAAGGAATTGATCACTGACAATTTCCTGCAGTTATCCTTCAAGGATGAGATTTTCAAAATCATGTCTTTGTGAAATTAGACTTGCACAAGTCAGGAGACGAGGCAGGAAGGCATTATGTTATTGGAAAGGAAAACAGTTGTGCTGAGTTGGGCCTTGCGTGTTGTAAGGAGGTGGCTACCTCCATCTGAAGGGGTCATCATTACAGCCAAGTTCCCATCATCTCCTTGTGGTGAGGTCACTGGGGGAATAAAATCAGTGAGCTCCACAATGCTTGTGCAAGGTGGCTGACTGCTTCGGCCCAATGTTGGTGTGACTCATCCCCATATCCACAGGCACTAGCACTGTCCAGGCTTCTGAGTCCAAGAAGCTGCTGCTGACCAGTAGAGAGGACCACTCTGTCTTGGCCAGGATGACACCCTTGGCAACGGTGTCATCACCGCTGGTGCCATCACTGCTGATGCCATCACCAAGACTTACAGCTCTCTCACCCTTGATTTCCAGAGCAAATTCCCCACCAGAATTCAATAACCATCTTGTAAAGACCCACAACAGTCTCCATGCAGGGGACCCAGGTTCCAGCTATTGCCACTACATAGTGGTTTCTGGTTGTTTTTTTTTAAAATACAAGGAGAATAACTGAACTAATTAAAACAATACCAATCAAGTCTGTCCCCAAACCAGAGGTCACAGTAAAGAAATTAGTATTAAGCAAATTATGTGAACATTGAAAAGCCAAGAAAAGAGCCTTTCTTTTCCGTTTTCTTAATGAAAGGAAGTATTATTGGTGACAACACTCATGCAATCACATCATCTATGGCAGTGCGGAGAGGACACGGAAATTCCACAGACAGCCTTATTCCACATTCCCTAAGCCCTGTAGCTTGATGTTTTATTTAGAAAATTTCCAAGGCTATGCAAAAGTTCTAATTAAAAATAGTATTCTTCACTTGGATTTACTTTTTAACATTCAGTCATTTTTTTACTGTCTTTCTCTCCACACACACACACACACACACACACACACACACTCTGTAGACTCATCATGGTAACCATTCTATCTTTTTAATTTAATTTTAAATGTTAGATTTCTAAAGGTCTAAATATTCTTGGAACATAGCCATGAACTCAGGTGTGAGAACAAAAGGTCAATGGGACAGCAAGGAAATTGTAATTACAAAGCTATCACGACCTACACTTAGCATCTCTAATCCATTCTGGTTGGAATTGTTAAATAGGAATTTTACTGCTTACAAATTTAAGGGTCATGATTTAGCAAGCTTAAAACGAGGGCTGCCACATGTGAGATGGAAACAAAACGGTCTCCTGAAGAGACTGTTATCATTTAATGACCCAGTACAGCCAGTACTTACAATGATCCTGCTTTCATAAGAACATATTATGCTTAATGAAGTTATGCCTTTATGGCAAGAATGTTTATGCTATATTTTATAACGTTTCACAGACACACACACTAATTTGAAATTCTTGGTATTTATTCTCAACTTCACTTTTGGACAAAGCCGGATTATTGTGATGTTCTTGAACAAAATTAGACAAAAATTAGCAGTATAGCTAGACAGTAATGGGCTCAAACTTAACAAGGATTATGGAGAAGGCACAGAACAGATAGTATTTTGTCCTACTGTACATTGGAATGCTTAGAATAGGAATGAGCTTGATGGCACCTAACAGCAACACACAGGAGATAAGAAGCATAGTTCATGAATTTCCTTCGAAGGTGTATAGAGGACTCATTTAAAGCAAAAATCAGGTCGTTTTCTGGTCTATAATGGCAACAATTGTTGTTGTGTGCCAGAGTTGGAACTGACCCATCGCTGACCCTCCGGTGGATTTTCAGAGGCAGTTAACTGGGAGGAGACCGCCCATCCTCCTCCCACAAAGCAGCTGAGGCCTCGGACTGTGTGCTTCTTGCAGCACGATTCTTGCCACTAGGCCACCAGGGCTCCCTATGGCAACAAGTAAGCAATAAAATATATCAGTCAAAATCTGAAAAGACTGCTTGAAATTTCCTAGAAAAATGGGAGGGGAAAGGAAGACTATCTTTTGGGTATTGTTTTAACTATTTAGGTTCCATGAGATAAAGGGAGAATTCTGCCTTTTCAGTGGCTTATAACATCACTGTTGGACCATCAATGTGGTCACACAATCCAACAGGCAATGAGGACTGTCCAAAGGTGCTGGAAAGAACCACAGCTAAGAGGACCGCACAGGTGGGTCTGAGCCACTCTCTAAACAGAAAAAAAAAATACAAAAGAAAGATGGAGACATTCTCTATGTGATGTACCTGCTGTGGGGGAGTTTGCATGGTGAGACTTTTTCGGCAGGTTGAAGATCTGTTCGCCAGGGTCGGGGGGAGGAATTGCATCTTGCCCTTGTCGCGCCTCTACGGGATCATACTCCTTCCCATCATAGTTGGCATCGTAGAATTTCTTAAACCACTGAATAAAATCCAGGTTGTCCTGGAAACGTCCTTTCACTAGCTTCTCCACCGGAATTACCTGCAACATAAAATGAAAAGGGAGTCACGAATATCAGCTTTGTTTCCATTTAACACAACTGAAGGGTTATCAAAATTAACTGCATCCTAAGTTCCCTTTAACGCTTCGAACTGCATTCTAGAATTAACATAACTTTTCATCAAACTAAAGAATTAAGGAAGCTGCTGGCCTAGTCTGCAGGAAGTTGTGCTGCTAACCTGAAAGTCCTCTCAGGTGGTTTCAAAACAACAGCTGCTTAGAGGGAGAAAGATAGAAATGTCTTTCTGTGAAATTTACAGCCTCTGAAAACCTTCTGAAGGCTCAGCTATGAATTGGTTCTAACTCCATGGCACTAAGTATGAGTGAAAAAAAGAATTAAACCTAAATGACGGATCTCTTGGAATATCTGACCTTTATAAACACACTAGTGCAGTATTAACTCTCATCGTCCAAGTGAGGCTGAGCTTTTTCTCATGGTGTGTTTACTGTAAAAGCATCTTCCTTTGGAAAAGTACTGCCTGAGATGTTGTGCTTTTAAGACTGATGGATGAAGCTTTATTTCTGGTCCAACTGTGTTGGGATAAGCTCTTAAAAATAATTACAGTTACTAGAAAAAAGAGTTTTTGAGATTGTTCACAGCTTCAGTTTGCTCGGCTCCACAGTCAACACTCTTGGCACCAGCAGTCAGGAAATCAAAAAGCGTATCGCAATGGGAAAGTCTGCTGTTAGGGACCTCTCTAAAGTACTCAGGAGCAATGGTGTCTCTCTGGAGACTAAGGTGCGCCTGATACAGGCCATGGTCTTTGCAATCGCTTGTTATGCATCAGAGAGTTGGACAATGACTAGGGAGGACAGAAGGAGAGTTGATGCTTTTGAGCTGTGGTGCTGGAGAAGAGTACTGAATGTACCATGGACTGCCAGGAAAACAAACAGATTCACCTTGGAGAGGATTAAACCAAGCTACTCCTTGGAGGCAAGGATTCTGGGGCTTCGTCTGACATACTTTGGACACGTTGCAAGGAGGGACGGGTCCTTGGAGAGGGACATCATGCTTGGGAGGGTGGAGGGACAGCACAGGAGGGGAAGACCCTCTATGAGATGGATTGATTCGGTGACTGGGGTAATCGGGATGGGTGTGTCAGAGGCAGTGCGGTTGGCGCAGGATAGAGCAGGGTTTAGGGCTGTTGTGCATAGGGTCACTATGAGTCGAAAACGACTCGACGGCACATAACAACAACAACAACAACAGAAAAAAGAGTAACCAGAGGGAGCTTGGGTGGCCTAGTGGGTAAGGAGTTGCACTACCATCCCAAAGGCAGGCAGTTTGAATCCTCCTTGGGAGGAAGGCAGACAATCTCCTCTCATGTGATTTACAGCCTCTGAAAACCCACTGGAGGGTCAGCAATGAGTTGGTTCTGACTAGACAATGAGAATGGGGGTAGGGGTGGGGAAGGGAATGAATGAGCAGGACTTAAAATCGATGCAAACACACACATTAACCTAATGACTTACGGGAAACAAAATGAACTTTCTCAGATAAGTATGAAAACAATCAGCCACAATGCAGAACCAGCAGCACACGGGCTCCCCGCAGGACCACAGGCACCGTATGCCACAGGAATTTGGGGAGAGGGGAGGGAGGCCGCCTGAGGGGGTCACGGAAGGCACTTTGGAGGCGGAGGTGCACAGCAGTCACATCCGTTCATCACGGAGTCACCTTTCCTACGTGTGCCCTAACAGTCAGACAGCACTTCCTTTAGAGATCGTACAGGAGCCTTTGGAATTATGTAAAAAAGAAAAAGTGATTTGACTGCTAAGCTCTAATTAGCAATAATTTTAATCTAATTAGCCTGTCATTTTTGAAGGAAAATGGAAAGGAATATAGATTACTACCTTAACTGCACCATTGTCAGACTGTTATTTGCTACACCTTTGGACTGGAATACTAATTGAGCTTACTCACGTACTCGCTCACGCAGGACTGTCCATTTCTCTCCTGGGGGAGTGGCTGGTGGATTCCAACCACCTGAGAGGTGTGACCTTCGGGTTAGCAGCACAACTCCTTATGCTAGAGAATATATATGTGTGTGTGTGTGTGTGTGAGAGAGAGAGAGAGAGAGAGAGAGAGAGAGAGAGAGAGAGAGAGACTGTGTGTGAGAAAGTATATGTATATGAGAAAGTGTGTGTATGTTATGAGAGTGTGTGTGTGAGACAGAGATTCTGTATGTGTGTGAGAGTGTATGTATGTGAGAGAGTGTGTGTATGTTAGGGAGTGGAGAGTGTGTGTGTGTGTGTGTGTGTGTGTGTGTGTGTGTGAGAAAGAGAGAGAGCGAGCATGTGTGCACGAACATAAGCATGTGGTGCAGCTAGAATCACAGCACCTCAAGCACGGAGCTTCATTTTATAATAATGTGAATGGAAGTGGCACAGATTAAGCTTCTGTAAGGCTTTGCCACTTAGGGAGCTATGCATCCTTGCCAGCCTAGCATGTATCATCAGGACCACTAAAACCAAAAAAGCCAAACAATTACAAATAGGACAATTTGATAGAAAAGGCAACTGAAGCATTTTAGGTCACCCATTAAATAATTTGCAACATGAGCAAAAAAAATTTTTTTAAAGTAGTTAAAATGCAAACTCAATCAAATACAGTTGATCAGAAAGAGAAGCAAACTGTTGGAGGCTCTCTCATTTTCCAAGCTGACTCTTGGTGAAAGAGCAAGGTACTCTTCCTCCCCTAGAACGTGAAGTCGGCTCACATGATGCACGGAGCCTTCTCACTGCACTTGGGTGTTTTCACATTCTCCGATTTTTCAGCTGATAGTGTTTTACGCAATGACTTCTTAAGAGCATAACACTGACCGGATCGTCGCAACTGACTGGAAATAACTCACAGTTGACCCTCCATTGGTTCTCTGCGGCTGCAAACTGCACAAAAGGACACTTTCACCTTTCTCCTGAGGAGGTGCTGGTGGACTTAACTACTGGAAGCGTGACTTTTGGCTTGGTTGCACAACTCCCTACAGACTATGCCACCAAGACTCCTTCTTAGAGCAAAAAGCCCTTCACTAACCTGCTCATCCACTGTGCCTACGCCAGTTATGTGGTAATTTATCAATCGCTTTAGAGGACTGTATTGTGCAAGGCTTTAAACAAAGGCATTTACGACTGTTGACTTAATTTTCAATTCTCTGACAAAATGAAGGATGTGGTGGTGACAAAGGTCTTGTCTTCCCCGTGGAAGCCCCAGGTCTGATTCTCAGCCAGTGCAGCACATAAGCAGAACCAACCGTCAGTGAGGCTGGATTGGTGTCAGCAAAGCTTCTAGGCCAATAAAGACTAAGAAGGGCCCAGGATGATCAACTGCTGAAAATCACCCACTGAATCCTAGGGATGACAAAAGCTCAACCCGTCACGGCTCATGTGAACGGCACAGGACTGGACAGTGCTTTATGTTGTACATGGGATCGCCACTGGTCAGGGGCTGACACAACACAACATCAGAACACATGCTCCAGGTGCATATAGTAAAACTCTGAGGGGGCATGTGAAGCACTGCACAGAGCCGTCTCACACTTGTTCAAGCTGCGGACAGTGTGAACAAGGGCCACTGCCTCTCATGGGCTCTGCAGGTAGAACCTAGAGGTTCAGAAGCAGACAGGCTAACAAAGTGCAGCAAGGCCCAACTATAGGGATTTCCCTTCAACCTCTGTAATACCTATTCGTCCTTAATCTCTACATGTTTCTAGAGAGATCATTAGTTTGCTGTATAGATGGTTAAATCCATAAATCAATGAAAGGATTTTCTTTTCCACCTAAAAAGATGGGTAGAGGAATGAATAAAGATACATTTTCTTTTATACAAAGTGGTGTTGTTTATATAGAAAAGTAAGGAGTAACTATATAGCTTTGGTTTTGAATGGGAGTGACCCTAACTTACAACAAGGTTTCCCTCTGATCATACCAGCGTCAGCTGGTTCCAAAATAATCAAATACCTCTTCTCCTCACCGTATTTTTCATCATTATTGACTGTTGTGATCAGTCCTTTTAGAAATGCAATCCTCACTTGTATTTGAGTGCTGGAAACAGGACATGTCAACTTCCCAATATATTTTTCATACAAACACAGTAAGGACCCAGATGGCACAGGGGTTAAGTGCTTGGCGGAGGTTTGAACCTCCGGCTGCTCAGCAGGATAAAGAGGAAGCTGTCTGCCTCCATAGAGACTCATGGGCTTGGGAGCCCATGAGGCGGCTCTGCGCTGTCATATAAGGGTCGCCATACACTGGAACTGGCTCTACAGGTTATACCTACGTACCTAAAAAATACACAAGCACTAAAATGCACTCTAACAATAAGAGCTGATGTGGCTGGCATTTTGTCTGATGTGGTAACAACTCCATTTGCGGAAGGTACTGGATCACCTACATTATCCCTGGGGATGGCGACAGTGTTTCTCGTCAGAAAATTAGTGAGAGCTGTCTGCATGGTCCTTTTTTGTTTCTTCCTGTAATCTGTGGAAGAATCTCACAGCTTTCCAAATCTTCCTACCTACTTTCAAGTGATCCGTGTTTGGGTCCTTGAGGCAGCTTAGAAACAGTTTCAGCTACTTCTTTCGCTGGAAACATTGTGGTGTTTTTTTTTTTTTTTGCCAAGTTCTCTCTCCCTTTCCTCATTCCTGCCTCCTTTTCTAACTCCTGATGTGTCACGTCCCCTTGTTGTGGTCTAGGAGCTGCTGCATGCCAGCGATCTCATGTTCTAAATCGAGCACTCTTGCCATATGGTTGATTTCCCCACTGACTGCTTCCATCATGCTATCTCGATCAAATGCTTGGAGCACATTCACATCACTCAGCAATATTTTTCCAAATCCCTTCCTTGCCTTTTCTTGTAAGTTCTTCCTACGAAGAGGCAGTATTTGATCTTGTTGTTACATACAGTTGAGTTGACTGTGACTCATAGAGACCCTGTGCACCACAGCTCAGAGCCCTGCCTTACCCTGAGCCAATCTCACTCTCTCCCACACACCTACCTCCATTATCCTTGTACTATGCCAATCCATCTCATCCAAGGTCTTTCTCTCTTGCTCTATCCCTCCATCCTTCCAAGTATGATGTCCTTTTCCAAGGACTGGTCCCTCCTGGCAACATGTC